AAAATTAATAATTAATCTTTATTTATTATTCATGCTCAAAGCAGATTGATGCTGTAGACTATTTTTCATTTTAGAAAATTACAAAGAAGAAACATTTGCAAGTTTATGGGAATACTCTTCTAAGATTTTCCGTTGGATCAAAACTTTCAAATATGAATTCTTAAAAATTTTTTCTTGAGGCAGAGTTTGGCAATTGTAAAAGAATTGGAACCGAGAATCGTAAGATCATCCGATAGATACAAAAATTTCTAAATCGAGGTCGAGAAATCTTCAATTTTTCATTCTTGAGATTAAAAATTTCAGTAGATATAAAAAATATTGTTTTGTTTAAGTACTGAAATATGTAGCGTCTTGAATCTCACAACAATTCAATTATGAAGATTTCTCAAAAGAAATTTAAAGTTGTCATATCTATCTGATATTCGAGGATGATTTTTAGAACCGTCGAACTCTACCTGAAGGACTCTCAGAGATTTTTTTATCTTCAATTCAGCATTTTGCATCTTGTTGTATAGAATTTGTTACACTGATCACAAATATTATATATATTTTTTTTTTTATTGAAGCTTTGTCTAATAATAAGAAGCATATAAAGATTTTTAATAGTTAATAAGGAAATTCTTGATATCAAAACCGTCTAGAGCATTCAAATGACTCAGATCTAATCCAATTTTTTGTGCTCTAGCCGAATCAGAATGAATCTGTAAGAGTATTATTATCATTGTTTTGATAATGATCTGATTATTTAAATATATACGTCTTTCATCTACTTCGAAATTTAAGGTATATTCGCAATTTTATCTCTTTTTTTTTTCTTAGCAAGATATTTTTATCAAAAATAAAAATAGACCAGGTATCACAACATAAGTATCTACAAGTCAAATGTATAGACCAAAAAAAAAAACATGAAAATACGTACAGAAGGTCGATGTTGTTAACTATGATATACTTTGTATTCATCTTACAAGTAACCAAAACTGGTGATAGACGATTTTTAGGTACGAAAAATCTATCATCGATTGTAATTTCAAAGATTCTTAGACTAATAAAATAGTTTATATCTATGAAGAGGCACTATAAGAATTTGGACACGTGACGATATTTCTTATAATTCAATCAAATTTGAATAAATATATGATACTCATGATCAGTGGAAACAGATGTTTTGGCCTCCGTATAAAAGACTTAATCATGAAACAAAATTTTTTTTTATCGATTTCTGCAATTGCCTCAAGAGTAAAATATTTGACAATCATATTGCAAAGTTTGACTCATCAGAAAACTTTAACAGGATGTCTACATAAAATTTAACCTTTGATAAATTTGCTAAAATGTTTCGACAACTCATCGAAGAATTATTTAATTATCGGATTTCTATTATTTTAAGTACTGGTAAAGACTTAAGAGTAAGTATCTGAGAGACTCAGACATCACCAATGGAATAATATTTTAGAATTCCCTGATTTTTTTTTTTGGTATATTGTAGATGGTGATGAGTTTAGTAATCTCTGAAATTTCCAGCTCGATCCAATTACTTTTTTCAAGACTATTGTTCAATATACTGATGAAATTTTTTAATCGTTTTTGAAAATTTTCTTCGAAAAAAATACTTTCGTCTTTTGAAGTAAGAAAGTTTTGAATTTATACTTTTTTAATAATTATTATTAATGATTTTTACTACTACGCGTGAAATTACAGTAACTTTCTTTAATTAAATATAAAATATATGAAGACTCTAGAGGGAGTGTTATGTTACCCAGTTGGCGTTTTGTTAGCAAAATGTCGATCAAGTACATTTTATGTGCCAACGGCGGCATGCATCGATATTTTTACCAGTGATAGAACTTTAAAACATTTTATCGTTTGATGTATTTAACGATTTCATCTCATATGATAAATTAATCCCTTTTAATTGAAATTCATCATTTTCATATAATTTACTAGATACACTTGAAGATGTCGCGGTATTTAGTGTTAAACAAAAAACGATGATACCTTAAGAGAAGGGCAACTGCAATAGAAAATAGTATAAAAAAAGCGCGTATTTTTAGATTTTGATTCCGAAAAATTGACTTTCATCAAAAGTAAATCTTATATTCTTAATCAGCATGGAAAAATACACTAGAAAACATATCGAGAACTGCGGTTTTCATCGTTCGAAAGGGGAGATCAAGATGCATCGAATTATGTCTTATATATTTTGCCTAGTATATGGTCAGCTGTTTGTTTACTCAGTTTTCTAAGTACAGAAAAAATGGTTTCTTATCAAAAAGAGAAAAAGTAAAAAATTCTTTTCTAGAAATTGTCAGAAAAATCATCTAAAACTTTGATTAATATACTTATAACTTCTAAATGATTAATTCTAAACTTCTGAATCTTGTGTACTTTTCTAGATCTTCCATCGACGATCTCGATACACACCTAACCATTGAAAATTCATTGTAACTATTTCATGAGTAGATTTATTTTCAAAGAGGTTGATTGAAAATTTGTAAAAAAATCTATAGTATATGACTCGATGCATCTGGATCTCCTCTTTCTAACGATGAAAATCGCAGTACTCTCTCTTGTTTCTATCAAAAGTTATTCAAGAAAAATATCCACACTAGTGCTACCAGTATATATGATAGAGAAACAGCTCTTATGGAAAGTTTATTGCTATGACATTAGTTGAAGTATGATCAAATAGCATAGAAAAACAAAACATTCTTTTCTTTATCGGACTATAGAGAGAGAAAGTTTCTTAAAGCTTTCCATACGGAAATAAGATAATAGCGATATTACTTTTGAATTGCCCTAAGTAGAAATATTCACCCTTTTCTTTTATACTGTTTTCTATGAAAGTTACCTTTCTCTTAACACTTGATCTTTTTTGGTAATAATAAATATATCAATGGTCTGATGTACTAATTTTATATAGTCATATCATCTACAACAAAAAAGTAGTTATTCAAGAAAATTTCAAAGAATAATCTATAATAAATAGGCTGGCATCTTCGAACATATCTAATCAATGTTATGAACACGATAACTTTCGATTAAAAGAGATTAAATAGTTACATACGACGAAGATGTTAAATATTTCAAACGATAGAACTTTTGAAACTCTATCATTGGTGAAAATATTGAAGCATTTGACTGTTGGCATATAAAACGTGCTCGATTGACATTTTGTTGACAAAACGTCAAAAAGAATAACTATAATGTTCTGTTTGAAGTAACAATATATTTCATATTTAATTACAGAAAATTACTGAAATTTCGTATGCAGTAATAGAAATCACTAATAATTATAATTAAAAGAACATCAAGTCAAAACTTACTCATGTCGAAAGACAAGTAACTTTTTCGAAGAAAATTCGCAAAAAAAAATTTAAAAAAAAAAGTCAGATAATAGTTATCATGAAAAATTTCAGATACTACCAAATTCATAACTCTTGACGACATATTAAATGATCAGAAAATTCTGAGTTGTCACTCTGTCATCAATGCATTAAAATAACTAATTTTCTTAGACATTCATTGTTAATAAATCAATTAGAATAAACATAATTTCCCAATAGAAATGCAATGTTTATGCACTCGCTTAAGTATACTTACATGATAATAAACAAATATTCAAGGCCAATATGAAAAATAACAACAGTAGCCTTTCTTTGTTGCATACATATATAGATATCTATGTATATATATATATATAGATCAGCATAAATAACAGAACATGAAATATCACGCAAAAAAACAATCCTATTATTCAATGTTGATGAAAGTATATTCAACTATCGTCAGAGTAAACGACTGTGGACAATTACTGTCAATGGGGCACGTCATGTACATGAAAGATAAGCATCAAAATACATGTAAGATATATTAATAAAAACGATGGAAACAAGAAAAGGTTTTCTTTTGCCCAATTATAATATATATACCTATTTTTTTTATCAAGCATCAATCATTTCAAACTAAAAAGATAACATTGACGAATGACGAATAATCGTTTAGTGCAAAATATTATTCATTTTGAATTATTAATCAAAAAAGAGATTTATATCAAAGAAAAAAAGTCTATTTTACAATTCTCTAGTCATCAATTTCAAGCACATGATCAATCAATCTTGAAAATAGTAATAATCAAGATATTGATAATGCTCATGAGATCTATCTAGAATCTAAATCAAAGAAAATAAATCTGTTATGTTGATAATCTAAACTCTTCTTGTTTTATCAGTGCAAACTTCGACGTTTAATACAATAGACGACACATGATTACAATCATTTGGTCATATTATCATAGATAAAAAATGACAAGGAAATATTATGTCCGGAAAAAAAAACTAGATATTCTGTTGTATGATAACAAATTATAAATTCTTTTCTTCGTTAAAGAAAAAAATACCCATCATGATTAAGACGAATGTTTGTGTACGATTTTCTGACCCAGGTGGAACAAGCACGATCGTAAATCATCATATTTTAGCATATTACATAGTTTCGTATTACGATTGTATTTCTTTCTATTGTATACGGATAAATATGATCATTTACAAATGTAAACACGATCATTTCCTGAATTCATATATGATCTTCGTATTTTGTCGTAAATAATTGTCTTTCTCCGTATATAATATAAAGAAATACGATCATATACGGATTTTGTATTCTTTATCTTGTGAATACAATAAGAAAAATTTATTTCTATGACAAAGTGACAAGCGAAAAATTTTCTTTTTTAGATTGTTAATTACTTGTCAATCTATTTCTGAGTAGGTTAATAATGTAAGTCTAAAAATATCAGAAACAATAAAGATTATTTTGTCATAGGTTATATTATTATTAGATATTTCAGAACATTTTATTTTATGATATATCACTACGATAATTATAGGAATTTGAAATGTTTGTTATTAATGAGAGTAAAATTAATTATATTTTTTATTTTCTATTTAAAACAGTTGACTCAATATTTTTAATTATTTGAATTCTATATTCATCATGAGTTGTTAACATTGAGAAAATGAAGAAATTGTAGATATTGCATTATTTGTATAATTATGACGTAATGAATTTTGATTAGTAATTGTATATAAATCATTACTTAATTCAAGATCACGTGGTAATTTTCTTTTACGTGATGTATAAGAATTTTTTCGTTGTCGATTAGCAATTAATGAAAATGTACTATGATTACCATCTGTTATTAAATGAAGTTCATTTAATGGAAGATTCTTAATAATTAAATATTCAAAATTAAAAATTATAATTTTATTTCTTATTATCTCATACTGAATTTGATTTTTCTTCTAGACGAAGTACAGTTCCAATAGGAACTACTCTACGCATATGTAAATTTTCAAGTTTAAGATTTGGATCGATTAATATTGGAGTTGTTTGAACAATAGTTGTAGAATTCGTAGAAGAATAATTTAATTGTTCATTTAATTTAATTGGTATTTCTGAAATATTTGATCCAGATAATGATGTTGGAGGTGTTTGATCTTGATTTTGAGATATAGCTTGAGATAATGAAGGTCGATGAATATGAGGAAATATCATGTCTATAGAATTAAATGAACAAATATTGAATTTATGAAAATCCTTAATTACGTTTTCCATCATATTTTATAGATGATGTACGATATTTTTGTATTGGTTGAATTTGTTTTATTGAATCATTACCTTTTGGAAGGATGTGTACACCAGTTCGATTAGATACGTGTGATATTTCAACAATATGTGATGAATTTAATCCTTGTTGATGATTAAATGGAATATTTTTCATTGTTATTGATTGTTGTTCATTTTCAATTTGTGAATATTGAGCAAGTTCTTTTGCTCGTTGAATATTAAGATATCGATCAATACTTGTACGACCACGTAATGTAATTGTATCAAATTGATGAAAAATATCAGTTAATGTTATTTGTTCATTTATTAATGATATATCAGAATTATTTTGATCAATAATATGTAAATAATCATGTTCTGTTTTCATTTGAAATTTAGTAAATTTTGAAAATATTGGAAGTTTTTTTTCTTGAATACCTTGTTCAATTAATTGTTTACATCGTTTTATCTAGATAAAATAAATAATAATATATAAAAATAAATAAATAAATAAATAATTTATTTCAATACTTTATTGATTGTATCACATTTAAGAATTTGACAAATTTGTTTTATATTACCTTCATAATTCATATAAAGAAAATAAAGAATATTTATTTCAGCTATATCTTTTTCTCTATCGAATATTTTTAAAAATTCAAAAGTATGACTTAAACGACGAGCACGATCAATATCTATATTTATATAATAAAGAATTAATTTGAAAAAAATCATATCTTACAAGATGGAAATTTAATAATTTTAATTGGTTCAAGATGTTTTAATTGTGGATCATTAGAAAGTTGTTCAAGAAGATATTTAGCAAAATGTATTGAATTTTTATTTATTGTATGATAATCAATACCCAAATAGAAAGGTTTAAGATTATTAATAATTTGATCAATTTCTTTCTCACTAAACCATGTCCATCCAACTTCAATTGAATCACGTAATCGATATAAATGAAAACGTGAATCATGTTTTGATGTTTTATAAAGACCAGTAAATTTATATGGATGTCCCATATAACTAAAATAAAATAAATATATATATATATATATCATAGAATTCACAAGATAATATTATTTTTATTTTACTACCCGTATTCAGCTAAATGTGCTTGTACAGCACAATGATAAAATAATAAACCTATCGAATGAATAGAAGCATTAATACATCCACCTAAATCGTATAAATTTAGATATACTGGTGTAATATATGTTCCTTGATGTAGACTTGATGATGATGGTATTGTTGTATTGACAGTAACATCTGTGTATCTGTCAGTTTTATTATTATTTATAGAGATTGGAGTGTTCATTGAGCATTATGAAGACAAATAATATTCAAATGAAAATGTAGATAATGAATAGAAATAAATCTGCGATGGCTCTAATAGCCTTCGCAGATTCGTAGTATGGCTTCGTTATTAGAATAAAAAATTTAGATAATATATATATATATATATATATAAGATACACAATTACTATGATATTTTTTATTAGTATAATATAAGAAGTTTGTTTGGGCGCGTGTCTTTTTTTATTTTTAGTATTAAAATATTGATCTTGGAATCCTTCAACGGAAGTAAGTTTGATGTTATTTAAGATTTCTATATAGAGTAAAACCTCTCTAATGTAAGCACCAGCCAAAACGACTCACTTTTATGAGGTTTTCACTGTCTTTTTTTTAGCAACCTATAAATATTCATTTGCAATCGATTATTAGCTGCACAGGGTAATTTTTTTTCTTCTTGTCAACAATTTATCAATTCAACATTTTTAATGAGAAGTAAATTAGCACATGTTAACATGATTTGATATTACTACGTAGTTATTAACACAAAAAAAGACAAATTATTAAAGCAAGTACTGTTGCTGTTGTCTAATGTTGTTCTTTTTTCTTTTATATATCAATCTCCTTTTCCTGTGTTCTATGACTATTTATCATAACGCAATACACATAACATCTTTTTTTTCTCGCTTTACACGTGAGTGATAGAACTTATATTACTCATATCACAGAGGTTGTTATTGTTCATGGAACCAGAAATGAGCGTTCACTGGTCCAGTATAAGGAGATGATCACTTTGTTAGTGGTTATAAGCTCAGACTCGGAAATCTACTGATTCAAATCTATGTTCAAGACTAATGTATTTCTACTTGTAGTTTGATCTGTTCAAAATCTTTGGATAATACTTTAAACGAAAGTTTTATTAACTAAATTTTTCAGAGATTTCTTTAAAAATATGCTTTCAGAGTTTTTGGTATAATCATAGCAATAATACAATTGCTATACTAAACAATTCAATAAGTGCTCTTAAGAAAACAACATGATAAAAGAAAATAACTTCATTCAATCTTATCAATAATTCTCAAGTATATTCTTATAAACAATTATGTTTCACTTGATTCTATCATAAATATTTGCTGTATCAAAGATAAGTTCTTTGTTGTTTATAAGTAATACGATCATTGAGAAATGTTATTGTTATTTTAAGAATCTATATACTGCTGTAAGTAATCAGATCATCAACTTCGAGATTTTCCATTCGAATAATAACTCAAGTAAATAAAATATCAAGTATAAAATTTTTTGTTTGAAAAACTCTTTGATCTCAATTTGTTATTAATCGAATAACATATATTTTGGATAAAATATATGTTATTCTATGTAGTTTTTGATGGCAATGCCGAATATCATGTTTATTTTGCATGAAAATCAAGTTTCACGAGTCAAATCTTGAAATACGAATGCAATTCTTTAATCTTTCATTCCTCCCTCCCTGGATTTCGAAAGAATCGATTTTCTCAGCAACGAAAGGAAATTTAAAAAATAAAATGATTCATACTTTTGCAGCCCGTCAAACGGTGACTTGAATAAGATATAAATCAAATTTTTAAATCATGGTAGAAAAAAAGTAGATAAGTTTAGAAGAGTATGCACTATGTGTCATCGACAATGATATTCTATCATAGTGATTTTTAAAATGAATACATATAATATGTAATAAAGCTTTAGATAACATTTCAACATATAGTTGTGAAAATTTGCTCTATTATACATCAATATAGCATTACTGACAAAATTCGTTTCAATTTCTTCCTATTATTCTGTTAGATAACAACTGAAAATTATCTATGAAACCAATGGCGTAAGACCATTGAACAATTGCCAACAAGTTCAAAAGTAATTCCCTATTGTTGTTTTTTTGAAATGATACCAATTGACCAATGATGAAAAATTTTGATACAGATACATGTACAAAGATTTAAATGGTATCATTTTAATAAATTGTATATTGTTGTGATCTAATCAAATGATTTAGAAAGATCAATTGACAATGTTTTCCATTAAATCGATGATCACAATTCAACGGTGTTTTTTTTTTCAATACTCGTTATTCCATTTGAATTCGTTAATAGTTCTATGCATGCTTATTAATGTTTTTTGACATAATATTTTCAAATATTTGAAAGTTGAAGAGTACATTTGCGGACGAATTCGCTTCTTAATTGATAGTAACGAACTTCTGTTCAATCTTTATCGATTTTTGTGATAGCAATAAATTTTAAAAGATTGTAGTTCAATTAATTTTTAATTGCCTACTCCTCAAAATAATTCAGTATGGAAACAGTCCATGATTTAAAAACTCTTGGAACTATAAATACTCCTTTATCAATGATTGAAATATCACCCTATATGGTGAAAATATGGCAGAGATATTCAAATGTTTCTTTGTTTAATTACTTTCTGAATACCCTATATAATGCATAGGTTTCTATGTAAACAGATTCTAGGAAAAATATTCTTCTTATGTCATTTATAGATATATAACACATTTGCTTCATTAATAATAAACAAGTTTTTAATATTCTTTTATGAAGAGTATTTAAATTTGCTATATCATTTCATTTTGTTTTTATGTTGTTCAAGACATATAGAAAAAAAAAGTCAAAAGACATGCACATTAGAAAAAAAAAGAGAATAAATATAACATAAACATAATATATTTACAATGAGAAACAAGAAAAAAAAAAGACTCGAGAGATTAATTGCAAAGTTCAAATAGACATGAACTAAGTGTTTGTGATGCTTCAGATGCTTCAAGAGCTAAATTTGCAATAATTTGCTCATATTGACGAAGATTTCTAAATGAAATATAATAGATTTTAATTCTAATATATTTATTCAATTGACTTACTGTTTTCCAATTGATGAATGTCGAGCTATATTACGTAAAATAAGTGCAGCTGTTAGACGAATACTTTTTGTTAATGGACCTTCTTTATTTTTATTCTATGATTTTAAATGAAATATTTAATTAAATAGAAAAAATATAAATGAAACTTACTATTTGTTCATCAAATAAATTAGTTTGCATATAACGTCGAATCGCATACCAAGCAGGATCAGACGTATAACCAACTGATCCTGATGTCAATATACGATTACTATTAGTAGAAATATTTGATTGCATTGTACTTGTCGAATGAATAGGATTTGTCAATTTGAGTTTTGCTTGTCGAAATGCGATTTCTGAACAATGACGTTCCTATAGATGAATTAAAAATCAAAAATTTTAAGACAAAATATTTTTTTATCATTTAGATTTCTTGAAAGTATTTCCAAGAAATGAAAAGTTATGATTTAGGATCGACATATGGTATACTTTCCGAATATGAGCTTAGAAATTTTATCTCAATTTTCGTTCGGAAGTAATAATAAGATTTATCTTTGAGAAGTCTAAAAATGAAAAGTTAAAAACTATGAATGATGATTAAAATTTTGTGCTCTCTTTGAATATAAGATTAGAAATATTCTATCTATTTTTGTTCGAGACTAGTGAAGAAATTTTGATAATAATCCATAGATTTTAATTTATCGAAAACATTTTCAACCTATCCTTTAAATAAAATATTTTATCAATAAAAATATACTTGAATATGATTGATTAAAGCCCATTTTTGTCGTTTTAATCGATCACATCCATTCCATAAACACACATAATCAGACGAATGTTTAACATGAATTGAACAAGTATGATGAAAAACTGCTCGTGCCGTTGGAAAAGATCTAAAATGAAAAAATTAATTCTACAAAACAACAAAGATAATTATTATTTTTTTTTATTTTTACGCTCGACAATTATCCCAATCACAAACATAATCAAATGTTGTTGTTGTTGTTGATGATGATGGTGTTGTTATAATATTCGATGTTGAAATAGTTGATCTATTATCAGATAATTCTTGTTCCATTGGTTCTTCTTTTTTTTCAGTTACAATATTTTCATTTGATGAATTCTCTACTAAAAATTTTGATTTTGTTGATTGAGTATATCTTTGTGTTTGTAATTGTTCGTCAATATGATCAATTTCTTTTGTTGTTTGTGTTTCGATTTTACGTTTAAATATTGGTGATGACTTAGAATTATTAATTTCTGATGATGATTGATCAACTATAAATACAACACGTTGACATAGATCATTTAAACATAAACGAATATCATTATCAAATGATTGAGATGAACAACGATCAAGTAGATCAGTCATTGTCAAATGAATACTATTAGCTATACTATTATTTTCATCTTCAATTGATGATGATACAATATTAACAGGATTTTTTGATGGAATTGAACGTAAATGAGATGGACAAGAAAATTTTGATGAAAATAATATATCTTGAAGAGAAGTAGTCATTGATTCTGCAAGACCTAAAAAATATTTAATTATTTGATAAAATCTTTGAAAAAAAAGAAAAGAAAAGATCAAATTTACAATCATATTTTCGTTTTTTATCATTTGTTTGAATATTTGTATTTGCAATAATAGTTGATGGATTTTGTGTTGATGATGTTGAAACAGATAAAATACTTCCTGATGAAATTAAACTAGCTAATGTTAATGGTTTGGAATTTTGTTGAATAATAAGTTTTGTATTATTTTTATTTATTTCAGAATTTTCATTTGAATATATTTGATAATGTTGTTGTTGTTGTTGTTGTTGTTGTGTCGGTTGATTTGAAGATATAACAACAATTGGTTGTGGTGTTATTGATGGTTGATGATAAGATGGAAGAATTGGTGGACCAGAAGACATTTCAATAATTTTTATAGTTTTTATTGTATCAGAGGAAAAACTTCGTGCTTCAATTGTTAATAAATCGATTAATGTTGTTATTATCGATGTAGAAGATTGTACTTTAAGTATTGTATCACATAATTGCTCGCCTATGCAAAAGAAAAAAAGTTGCGTAAAAATATGACGACAAAAATGAATTGTAGTTTAATACATATATATATATATATATATGAT